TATATATATATATATATGTGTGTGTGTGTGTGTGTGTGTGTGTGTGTGTGTGTGTGTGTGCGCGCGCGCGCGTGCATATATATATATGTATATATGTATATGTACATGTATATATATAAATATCCAACTGGTTTCAATGTCTTCAAACTTGAAGGGTAACTGGAATTTGTGACAAAAATTGAAGAAAAAGAATTAAGTTATTTATATAATATTAGTTGACAAACATTGTTGAAAATGTTAGAGGTGGCAAAGTTCAAACCAATAATTTGAAAAACAATTTTCAACAATTTAAAAAATAGATGAATGTGATGATATCAACAAAGGTTGTCATCGCCCCTCGGGGCATAACCCAGTGATGGAAAGGATAGGAGTGATGTAGTTTCAGTCTTACTGGTAGTCGCAATGTGAAGATTCAATTCCTAAGATATAGAATTGGACTTTTTATGGACAGCAGTGTACGGGCAATCTCTTGTTTTCTAGCCTATTAGGGCACATTCCGCAATTTACCTCCCTCACGATACTCTAAAAATGAGACGATGGGACTCCTAATGTTGGGATTCAACCTTTAACAAAGATTGTCATTTATAAAAAGGTTGAACCCCAACCCTAAGGGCCCCCACCGACCCTGCCTTGGGCCATCGTGGAGGAGGTAAATCTCAAGATGTGCCTCCTAGGAGCCAGGGTGGAGAGCATATGGATAGGCCAAGACTGTTAACCCATATGGTAACCCCCGCTTGTAACAAAGCCAATTCCACCTTACGGGGAATCGAACTCTGCATACTGCCACGCTGAGCCCTATCCACCCTCCCCTTTGCCACCGGAAGATATGCCCTGGGGGCAAGATTGTCATTTATTATTGTACAAATAAAGGTTGTAGTAGGATGATTGGAAGAAAAATGAGTCATCCTTCTGAAAAGTACAATCAGACACCACGGCTCATTCAGTTACTTCTGACTAGTCCATATGGTGCTTACAACTTTGATAAATTTCGATTAAATAAATTTTACGTAAATATAATAGAAATTTAAATTATTTATTTAATAGTGTTTCAAAACAAGAGGTTAAAAGGCAAATTTTTGTAAATGCCATTGTTTTCACAATCTGTTTGTGAGGCCTTAATTATACAACAATGTCTTGAATTAATTTAAAATGATCAATGAACTTTACTATAAATTACTACTTACTAAGCGATTTTTAAAAATTTACTCGTTGCTTATTGAATTTTGTTTAAGTTTCTACTTGTTCAATGAAATTTAAAAAGTTACTTATTGTTCATCCAAATTTTAACAATGTTATCCATCAATCACCCGTATCATTTTCACAAGTGTTACCTATTGCAGTGTTTAATGAGCAACTCGAGTAGTTTTATTCAAATTTAGATGAGTAATGAATAATCTTTTAAATTTCGATGAGTAAGTAGTAATCTATAAGAAAGAATTTTCAAAGAATGATTACCAAACATGGGCTAATTCACTCTTACTGCAATTGACTTCTATTTCAATTATTTCTTTTTCTTGTACGCGAATGTTTGAGTTTACATATTCAAATCTGAAGACAAATTCTATTTACATTTTTATATACTAGAGTCTAATTATAAATTTACAATGCATTATACCTATTAATTTGATTTCTGTCCTCATACTCTTTATTATTTACAATCGCATTTAATTGACTATTTCATTTATGTCTTAATGAGATTAACGATATTTGCACTCAAACAAACAACGTGAGAACACATAATTTATGTTCTACTTCGTATTACACGAAATAGAGTAATACAGATCAAATAGAACAACAGACTACTAGCGCAAAAGGTAGCAACTAAGGCCTAAAAAGAGAAAATTGGGATACACGAAAGAAAAAGATAACAGCAGCCCTTCTTGTCAACTCCATCAATTCTTGTGAACTTCCTCAATCCTTCTAAATCTGCATGTCGAAATAAGATAATCAATCAGTAAATGGCTCACAAGTCACGAGTTTTGTGAATAAATGACCCTGAGCAAGATTAAAGAGCCAAAAATGTAAATCAACAGGCAAAAAATGAGGACAGTTTTACTGCAGGAAAGATCAAATCAAGTACCAAATCGATGGTTCTGTCAACTGGGGAGGGAGTAAACGTGCGCATTAGGTAGTAAAAAGCCCCATGGTGAAGTGGCTGAAGAGTCACACCCCATTGATTGGTGAGAACAGGCTGACCAGATGAGTGTACAAGCACTGCATCCTCACCAAATGCTTCTCTGACATCGAAGGGTAACATTGATGATACCTCAAAGCATACATCATTGATATACACCGTTGATTTTGTGAGTACCCCACCTCCTGATTCGCCCAAACCTGCACCAGCAAACATCAAATCATCATCTCCTGTATGCACGTTTCTTCTCGTATTACATGTCAATATGCAACAAAAGGAACCAAAGCACCAGTCAATCCATGCACCGGTTCTAAGGGACAGATTACATGAATTGCGGATCACAGACATATCTGTCCTTGTCCTTTTCTAAATATGTCATAAATATCCATACATTAGTAGAAAAACGAAATTAGAAACACGCAAAACACGTCAACTGATTATACCTAAAGCGTAAGGGGTTCTGTGGCAACCATTGGACATGAGAGAAGAGTTTATGTCATGCTGCCGTTGATGGTGAGTTGTGTTGCTGGGCTTGGATTTGAACATGCTTGGCCAATGTCTATTTGATGAAGCCATGAGATTTACAGTGAAAGCTATGTGTTCATACAACCGTTTTGCTGGTCTTCTTATAGACTTCTCGCCTACTCCTTCAGTTCACGGTCAATTAATATATAGAGACATCCCCATCAGCAGATGATAAAAAATACTGGGTAACAAGAGAAAAAATGGTAATAGTGAAGGGATAAAAAAGACAAAACCCTCAGCAAGAATCGACTGCAAAATTGTAAACTAAAACGGAAAGCAAATTAATGAAGATAAAAAGTAAAACCCCATACCCTCTACGTACCTAACAATTTTGCATTAAATCTTAGAATATTTGTTTTTTCTGGTCATAGTACAAGCCAATTTCTCCAGATGCTGGGGCCTATATTAGAATCTTCATCAGAGAAGACAGTTAAAGCTCTTAATACACAAACGTGGGAAGGCACAACGGGGAGGGAGGGAGGGAGAGTAGTGGGTTATTTCTGATCAATTTGTCTCTCTGGTTTTTAGGGTCCTGTTTTCCTCACTTCAAGTTCAGATTGCAGAAGGCCATTAATGGAGGGAGTTGAAAAGGTGTTAGTGAGGGGATTATTTTTCTAATGCTGTAATAAATAGGGATGGTGGTGTTGAAGGGTGTTTGAAAGTCAAGAAATGAATCTAGGGTGTGTGAATTAGTTAAATAGGGAAAACAAGTCAAAACAAAAACCTTTAACATAGGTCTAATGTGAAAAAAATCTAAAAGTTGAAAGCTACATTTGATAGACTGAATTAGATCGTACAAAAAAATTATATATAAATTAAAAAGAATACTATGACATATAGTATTAAAATTTTCATTCAAAAGAAGGCAATTTGCACTATTTTTCTCATCTTGTCATGAATGTTAAATGGGCTGAATTGAACTGCTCGACTCGTCCACCGTCAGGCTCGGCCTGGCTCTGCCTATCACACAAGCCAGTTAGTGCTCACTCTCATTTTCAAAAATTTCTTCATTTCCACTTCTTGATTGCGAGTCGACTTGCATGATGCTTTGTTGTTTGGCTCACCTTACTTAACATTCATAATTCCGCCTAAGCCACCACCTGGCTTTCTTATTATGTTATCAGTTGAGTTTGCCTTTGTTTGGGTTTTCTATTGTACAACTAAATCATATTAAAGTATATTTACTCTGTTAATTAAAATTGAAGCACAATTGTCTGATTTTACTCGAGGGAAAGTATAGTTGGTGCCGCGAGTGGATTTTATCCATACAAATGACAATATCCCGAAATAATTCAAGTTCAGGGAAAATTATGGAAAACTGAAGAGCCCACTACAATGCATCCTCCACGCGTTTGTCAAACATTATCTTAATTACAATTCAGTTAAAGCAAGAATATAGTGTTAATGATACTTTTTGACTCCAGAAAAGTGCATTGTTCAAGAGAAATGGTTCAGAAAGTAAGTTGGAAAGGCGTTTTCTTGACTAGCGGGGGTGATCCCGTTGTGCTTCGTTCTGGGGTTTCCTCTCCTTCTCTCTCATCCCAATGTGGGACCCACATGTAGTGTGTGGAAGGGAGGGAGAGGGAGAGGGAGAGGGAGAGGTGCGTGGGGGTAGGAGACAGGAGGAGGGTGCTGTAAAAAGTACATGCACAAATCAAAGTCATTTCAAGGAGAGTAATTGTTCGGTCTGTGTCATTCCGACATGTAAACCCAAAACTCTACTCTCACCCTTGTGCCATAATTTTGAATATTGTTCGAACCTTTGTTTTTAAGATGAGATTGAGGAAGCACTGTGATTTTTGGAGGACTTTGCAAGAATAATTATTGGTCAATTATACTCTATATACTCAAATATAGAAATTTAAGGTGCATTTAATTTATGGTTTTCTAGTCGTTTTCAGTTTTGCAAAATACTGAAAACATGTTTAATTTGTTATTTCTGGAAAGGGTAATTAACACAAACGTTCTTCCAAAACGTCACTGTCTTTCTTTTTTTGGCATTTTCACATTTCATTGCGAAAAATGTCTTTTTTTCATCCAATTTCTTGATAGAATAATGTAAAATAACAAATATACCCTTTGATTTAAATAAATCAAAAAAATAAAATTGCAATTATACTCCCTAAATTTTTTTAAAAACTACAAATGAATTCAAATAAATTATGAAAAGGGTAGTTAGCACAAAACTCCATACCTTTGAATATTATTGTCTAAAACATCTATACCTTTCACTTTTTGGTATTTCCACATTTCATTACGGAAAACATTGTCTTCATCCCTTTTTTCAATACAAGCTATAGAATAATGAATATACCCTCCTATTTATATAAAACAAAAATAAAGAAAAGAAAAGAAAATTACACTCTCAGTTTTTTTTTTAAAAAAAAAGTACATATAAATTATAAATAAATAATTAAAAAATTAAAAAAAATTACTTTCTTTTTTATTATTTATTTGTACTTTTTTGAAAAATTTGGTAGTATAATTGCAATTTGTTATTTTTTTATTTTTGTTTTATTTAAATGTGAGGGTATATTCTTCATTTTACAGCTTTTAATTGAAAAAATGATTATTTTCATAATGTAATGTGAAAATAAAGGTGAAAATACAAAAAAAAAATAATAATAATAAAAGGTAAAGACATTTTGTACAATAATATTGAAAAGTATGGAATTTTTGTGCTAATTACTCTTTTAATAATTTATTTGAATTCACTTGTAGTTTTTATAAAAGTAGTGTAATTGCAATTTGTTATTTATTTTTATTTTTTTGTTTTATTTAAATATGAAGGTATATTTATTATTTTATATTTTTTTAAAATTGATAAATTGGATGAAAATGAACTTTTTATGCAATGAAATGTGAAACTAGATATGAAAATGCCTAAAATAAAAGATGATGACATTTTGCATAATAACATTAAAAGGCAATGACATTTTGTGCTAATTACCCATTTTGAAAATACATTTTCAAAAACAAAAGATAAATTTATAACACATTCTTCACGTTTTGAGTGTTTTCAGATTTACCTTTGCTTTTAAGATAAGACTAAGGAAGCATTGTGATTTTTCGAGGACTTTGCAAGAATAATTATTGGTCAATTATACTCAATATGCTCAAATATAGAAATTTAGGGTGCATTTAATTTACTGTTTTCGAGCCGTTTATAGTTTTCGATTGTGCAAAACACTAGAATTCTATAAAACTCAAAATGTCAAAAATGAGTTCTGAATTTTATGTTATAAATTTATCTTTTGTTTTCAAAAATGCATTTTCAAAAATTACAAATCAAATACATTTTCAGTGTTTTGTAATATTGAAAAATTCTGAAACCCTCAAAACATGAAAACAAGAGTAAAATTGTTCTTTTTTTAACTGAATAATCGAGTTAAATGGAATAAAATGTAATAAATTAAATTTCCAAAATTTCAAACCAAATGTGTTTTCGAGTTTTCTGGTTTGAGAAATAGTTTTAAAAATGACAAACCAAATGTATTTTCAAGAATCTTAAAATAAACTCTTAAAACAAAAATAAAAATCAATTCAAAACTTGAAACTGAAAATCAAAACACAAACCAAACGGATTCTAAGGTTTTGGGACTACGTGATTTGAAGTTCAAGCTCAATATTTTAATTTTGACCTATAAAGTTTTCTATTTTGTTACACTGCCCCCGTTAATTAACTGATACGTGCCCAAGTCTTATAGTTGCATTTTGATAGGTGAATACATTACGATATTTTATAATCCAACAAAGTCCTTTTTCCTTTTTCTTCTAATTTTAAAATCTCCTATTCAGAGAAGTGGGAAAATAATTATATAATTAAAATTAAATTAGGGTGTGCTCAATTATGCTTAAAGAATAAGTAAAAGATTGGAGTAAATTTATATTTCCAGAAATGTTCAGGTATATTTATTTTCTTACTTAAATTAAAAGGTTACTTATTTAAAAACCAACTTTATGCATATGTTCACTTCCATGCTATGAGATTCAAATTGCTAGCTAGTGCTAAGCTCATCGAACATTTCATCACAGCATAAAAATAAAAATAAATAAAATTCACCAATGACAAATTTATAGCATTAAACTAGATACGAAGACTTGATAAATATTTATGATTTTTTTTCCAATTTTATTTATTCTACTATGTCGAAATTATCAAATATTCTCCCCGTATGTTTAAACAATCACGATACATATTCAATCTCAAATCCGGACTCAAATCTAGATGGGACACGGTCAATACATGATTGGATAGTTTGAGAATTTAAAACAAAAGCGTTCAATTATTTAACGACACATCAATCCGTCTCTTTGCTTTCCTGTATGATTGTATTTAACTCTAGACAAGTGGCTTTATTCATGTTTAAATGAAGTAGCACATGATTACAATGAATGTTGGTATTTTTTCTAAACGCCTACGAAATAGATATGTGTGTCTTTGGCGAGAAATGCGCCAACATAATTCACTTAATGCAAACGTGCATGCAGTAAATACGTTACAGGTACGATTCAATGCACAAATTTCTTGCACATGCATTGAGAATATATTAATATTATGTCCACCAATTCTTGATGCTTATAAACTAAACTGTTGTGGCACTGAAAAATTTGGTGCAAAATTGGAAGGCTTTTTCAATTCAATTTGATCGTTTGGCAGAAAATGGTTGCCTTCAAGTCTGATTCAAGACAGGAATCCATTAAATTTTTTTATTTTTTATTTTATTATTATTATTATTATTATTATTATTATTTTTGACAAATTGAAGCTTATCAGAATGAAATCAAAAATGCAAATTAAGTATGCGCCCGTTAGAGCTTAA